TCAAAGTAATTCTTGCAATTTCTCGAAGTTAAAGTATTATTCTTAGGCCAAGAGTGCCACTAGTAAGCTAGAGTGCGAACTAGTCAAGTGTTATCACTTGTAAGGAGCAGTTTCTAGGCCAAGAGTGCCACTAGTAAGCCAAGAGTGCAAACTAGTCAAGTGAAGATCACTTGTAGGAAGTAGTACAGAGCCAAGAGTGCCATTATTTCGAAGCAGTCATAGTCCCAGTGAGTGCAGTAGCTCAAAACCAAGTCACATTCATTCAACTGTGTCTTACCCACCTCACTAGTGCGAGTAGTATGCTTGTAAAACTCACTAGTAACGAATAAATTGTCTTTTGAACAACATCCCTTGATTATTGAGTCTGCAGAGTGCTTCTATTGTACTCGAAACACCCGAATTCAATCAATTGGTGATAGTGTAGAGTTGTGAGAGGTTTAGTGTCAGTTGGAGAACATTTCCACCCACTAGTCTTTTGTCACTCACCGTTACCGAGCACATCAACAGAATTAAAACATAGGACTTCATCACTGCACTGTACCTCATGGGCATGCATGGCAAGAAGGCCAACTTAGCAAGCTCACTTGCAATGACATCCATTGGCATTGGGGATTCAGACTTGGTGGGACGCGCTTGTACTCAGACCAAAGCCAATTTAGATAACTATGCATTGATAATCAATGACACATAGGCCCTGGAGATCCAGTGACGAGGCTGGTGACAGGCACCCATGAAACCAAGCATGGCCTAGCATGAACAACACACCAAAAACCTACACTCAACCTCACAAACACACACACCAATCTCAAATAAGTGTGGAGGGGAGCAAGGAATTTAATTCTACTTGTGCACTGATAGTATCTCAACAATATCTCAAGAGGGCTCGCTCAATGGCACAATGCGAAGTGAAGTAACAAGCAATATCTCCAGTTCTCTTTATTTCTCCTCAAAGCTTTTACAAGAGAGCACAGCGAACCACGCAACTCTCAAGGCAATGGTATCTTTCAATAGAATACAAACAGACACACAGATCCATGAAATGACCAAGCTCATTCAGTGAGCTCGCTAAGTATGAATCACCACTAGGTCCAACTGCACACTGACTTTGCCTGTCTCTTAGCTCGCTAAACCTGAATCCCAACTTGTCACAACAAAGCCCACTCAGTGAGCTCGCTAGTACGAAGTGCCACTAGGTCCAACTGCACACACCTTCGCCTTAATCTAGTTCACTAAACCTGAATCCCAACTTGTCACAAATGAGGCCCTCAGCACTCTCAAGCAATACACAATACAATCAGGTCTTGCATGCAGCGAGCTCACTAAGTAACAAGGTACCGCTGGATTTCTTTCGCACTCACTGCACCTTGTGCAGCTGTCACAAAACAGCCCGATCTGGCCAATTCCCGCAACACTCTCAACACTGAACACCTCTCTTACACTGCACCAGAAATGGAACAGAGCTTTCTCTCAGATGTTTTTCTCTCAGTTTTTCTCTAGAGACTGGCTCAGCTTCACTGATTCCGAATCTTGTTCTTATCTCAAGTAAAACCGAAGTTTTATATCCAAAATGTATCTCTGTTTTTATTTCTCTGTGAGCTCGCTAAACTCAATGAGCCCGGAAGTAAACTAATGACTCCCTCATCGGAATACAGGCTCATGGCACTTGTCTGTTATGATTTTGAAGGCCAGCGACTAGTAGGCTCACTGTGCTCAAGGCAGGAGACCCACAGATTCCGAGCTGGTCCTTCTCAATGTAACTCTAGCCATTCACACAGTTCCTTAGCGGAGAAGAGAGCAAATAGTAACTTCCTTTGTACACTGGCTAATCAAACTACTTATATACTACGAGCGAAAGGTGATTACAAACGGTCCATGAGTAAGGTAAAAGGTCTAGACATTTCGATGATTTTCTATGATTTTCAATGTCAGTCCACCACAACTGCAGTATTCCTTGGCAGGTGAGTCAGACTGTCTCTGATTGGTCTCTCGAGGTGTACCCTATGCCCTGTGACACCAGTGCATGTCAAGGGCCACTGCCACTGATCTAGGACCTTAGCAACTAATGAGTAAGATTTCCTATTTCTGTGGCATTTCTCTTCAGCAGCTCGTTTCTGGTGGACAACTCCTTTCTTAGGCATATTAGCCATCAGGTGTTTCGGATTCCCAGCGAGCTTGCTACATTTCTTGGCTGAAACCCCTTGTACTAGGTCTGCCTCGTGATATCTCTTTATTTCCTTCCTCGCATGAGGTTATCTCCGGATTTTCAGATACCAGGCTTCTTTCATTAAGCGAACACATGGCTACCATCCTTATTATGTTGCGATCCGGTTCTAAGCTCATCTTACTGATGCGAGTGCAAGTCAAGCTTATTGGAAGAGGTGAGCTCACTAATTGGCCTTCTTGTCAAGCATGCCCTTCTGGTACAGTGCTATGACCAAGTCCTTAGTTAACTCTGATGTTTCCATTGACATACTGCGATATCGTCTCAGTAACCTCGCTTAGAACAGGTATCCATGGATCTGCTTAGCGAGCTCGCTAACTATAGCCTATAAGCTATTGCTAAAACATGCCAATTTGCGAATTTACATGGGTAGACATGCTGCGGGCGTGACACCGGAGAAGCGATACCATGTGAGAGATAATCAAGAGAACCACCAGGCATGGTCTGGAAATGGATATTGACCAATGGGATTAGCGAGCAGACCAGAATTCCAATGCGTCTCTTGGTTACCGTGTCTAGACTATGACACTGTCACCTTCAGAGCAGAACAGAGAACCAAGAATGATGTGTGATCAATGATCGTGCATTATACAGCTATTGAGTGCTAGCCCGCAGGCAGCCACTGCTGTCGGGAGAGTGACATCAGCGCTGCCCAGTCCCTTGAGACTACCAAACAGAGAGAGAGTGCCACTCTGCCAAGAGAGCTGTGATGTTTTGGACAAGGGATAATCGGCCAATACAAAAGTATTTTACTAATAACCAGTTTGTAACAATCATTCTCCCATAGTATAAGTAGGGCAGATTTTCATGTATTAGAACAAGCTACCTACCCCCCACGTACAGTAATAAAGTTTCAGTCTGAATCTGGACTTGTTGCGATGCGTAAGAGTTAGTAACTTCCAGTCTTGGCTATACCAGAGAGTTAGCGAGCTCACTAGAGAAATTGAAAACAGAGATACATTTTGGATACAAAACTTCGGTTTTACTTGAGAAACGAACGAGACCCACATCAGTGAAGCTGTGCCTGGCTCTAGAGAAAAACTGAGAAAACATCTGAGAGAAACTCTGTCCCATTTCTGGTTCAGTAGTATAAGAGAGAACTGAGTTGTGTTGGCCTCTGTGTAGGCTTTGAAGGAGATTTATGAGGGAATCAGCCAGCTTGAGCTGTTCTAGCAGTTGCACAAAGTGTGACAGGTGTGCGCAGTTGGACCTCGCGGCACCATTGTTAGAGTGAGCGCACTGTGTGTGAGGACTCGTGGGGACGTTTGACAAGAGATTTGCGTACTGTGTTTTTGAGAGCACCAAGGGCCTCTAGCATGACAAGTTTGGGATTCAGGCTTAGTGAACTAAGAAAGAAGGTGAAGGCATGCGCAGTAGAACCTAGCGGCACTTCATACTTAGCGAGCTCACTGAACGAATTCAGTCATTTTGCAGATCTGCATATCTGTGTGTATTTTCTGTTGAAATATCATTTGCCTTGAGGGTTGCATGGTTCACCATGCTCTCTTGTAAAAGCTTCGAGGAGATAGCGAAATTGAGATTTGCTTGACAATTGTACATGGTTGCATTGCATTAGTTAGCGAGCTCGCTAAGATATTTTGAGATACTGTCAGGGCGCAAGTAGAATTAAATTCCTTGCTCCCTTCCGCACTTATAGAGATTGTGTGGTGTATATGTTAGTGGGATTGAGTAGTGGTTTAGAGTGTTGTTCATGCTAGGCTGCTCTTAGTTTCACAAGTGCCCATTACCAGCCTCATCACCGCTCTTCATTGGTATGTTCCTCTTTATCATTTCCTTTGTTCATAATTGATGCTGCCATCAAAGTTCAACATGTACCAAGCCCATCAAGCCTTTATCTCTGGAGAAAGTGGTGTAGGGTTATGCATGAAACCTTAGGTTTTGATACACTAGGGTTTTGGACTGGTTAGTTACTGGTAATTTATCTCCCCTCACTGGAGGGGTTTTCATCAAGGTAACTTACCTGTCATGTGATGACATATGAGTAGCAATATCACCACTATATTCAGTCTTATTGCATCTATATCCTGTTTACAGCATAAAAGAGATCTCTGTAGTGATTGTTAATGAATCATACTTCAGGAGAAAGAAAAATGTGTAAACGAATATGAAGATAAAGATGCTGGGAAATTTTTGCAAATGCTGCATGTCAGGTATATGATGATGCACATGATAGGGTAAGTAACAGTAAATTACTGCATCAAAACACCCCCCTTGGAGAGGGGTCAGTACAAAACCATATCTTACAACCCCCAGAGGTTCCGTGCACAATAGGGTTGCGCACGAAACCCTAGGTTTTGATACACTAGGGTTTCGGACCAGTAAGTTACCGGTTAGTTACTGGTAATTTACCTCTCCCTGCTGGAGGGGTTTTCGTCGAGGTAACTTACCTGTCATGTGATGACATTTCAGCGGCAATATTACCACTATATTCAATCCTAGTGTAGTTATATTTTATTTACAGCTTAAAACATATCTCTTTAGCAACTTTCAATGAATCACACTTCAGGAGAAAGAAAAATGTGTAAAAGAATATGAAGATGAAGATGCTGTGAAATTTTTGCAAACGATGTGTGTCAGGCATGTGATTATGCACGTGATAGGGTAAGTAACGGTAAATTACCATATCAAAACACCCCCCTTGGAGAGGGGTCAGTATAAAACCGTATCTTACACCCCCCAGGGGTTTCGTGCGCAGCCCTAGTGCGCAACCCTAAAGCGATGTCAAGTAATGATCATATGTGAAATATGAGCAAAATGGTGCCTCCGACCAGGATTGAACTAGTGACCTTCGCATGAAGACGCATAAAGATGGTACAAGTGCGACGCGCTACCACTACGCCACAAAGGCATCGAGAGTTCCTGGAAAGGAGTATACTAGACATGTATACGACCGGAAGCAGCTTCGCAGCCTTCGCTACTCTCTTTACCATTCTACGCACATTGCCACAATGCTTTTGAGGTTTGAATCCATAAAAACTTCGACTATGATGTATTCTAACATTATTGACATAGCCTCTGAATAGCTGGGACTTCTCCGAAAACAATTTTCAAGCTGCAGCCTGCCAACCTGCACTTGTCACTTTCTACTAATAATCAGGTGCATTCTATATTCCCGTGAGGTTTCCATATCGCTGCCATGTCTTTTCATGAACTTGTGGAAGATGAATAATCATCTCCTGAAGCCTGGATGCGAGTGGCGGCTGTCCCGGCCCGGTGAGCTTTTTATGACTGACCGTCATCAGCACATCCGCTTTGCTACCTCAAAGCAGTGAGATGTAATATGTTAGAGAAGCCGTGATTTATATCCAGTTGATTGGGCTTCTGTGTATCCATGGTTCGTTTGTGAGCACGAACTCACCTGGCAATGAACATAGCCTATTGATTCCCAGTGACACCAGTAAGTTCGTTTAACTTCAAATGCTTCGCTAGATCGAATCACAACCATTCTTTGGACAGGAAAATTTCATACGACGTCTTGAGAACACCCTGCTATTCTTAGTGTGTCACCGGACACCACTATGCATCACAAGTAATCCGGAAGAGCCGTGCCATCCAGCGGGCCTTCTGAACATCTGGTGATCAGTCCTTTCGTCATTTGATGAGGTGGTGAAATTCCGTGAAGCGATTAAAAATGTGCCCGACCGGTATTCACCTAGTCATTCATATGCTGTTTTACTTCCTTCTCCTTCCCGCTGTCCTTGCGCTCGCTCCAGGCGGTCCCTGGGATACGTTTAACTATGCGCCAAAGTCGAAGACCGTCTACCCTCAAGACGTTTACAAAATCGTAGGTTCTGTGTCTGGTGGCAGCAAACTGGTAGGGAATATTGGAAGCGCGACTTTGTCTCCAAAGTCATGGATCGCGCTGGACTTTGGAATCGAGGTGTGGAAAAACTTCACCTTTCCGAAGACTCAAGGCTCAGAAACCTTGTATTAGGTCGGAGGACTTGTCTCACTCAGCTTTGACGCCATCGATACTACGTCCTCAGTATCTCTCTCTTTCACAGAGTCGCCAATGTTTGTCAACCCGCTCGCTTCAGACGACTCTTCGTACCCATCACCTAACATGACTTACGATGGCGTTTTTACGATTCCTGCTCCGTTGGCACAGGGATACTGGACTCAGCCTTCTTATTCCCTACGTGGCGGCTTCCGATATTTAACCATCGTGTCCCATTCGAAGACCGCTCTCAAAATCTCCAATGTCTCTTGCGCTATTTCTTTCATGCCTCACGTCGAAGATTTGAGGGCTTATACAGGTTACTTTTATGCTTCGGATCCTGTGTTCCATGATCCGGATTTCCTAACGAAAGGTCTGATCCATTGCTCACGACTGTATAATTACTGATCTACGGTCTGTAGTATGGTACGCTGGTGCGTACACAGTACAGACGAACACCGTTCCCCTTGAAACAGGACGAAAGGTTCCATTCGCTGCAGCTGGTAGTATGTTCTATTTTCATTGAACCTCTCTTTCCCATCTCAACACGGATCAGGTTGGTTTAACAATGCAACACTTGGGGTCGCAGGTCCGATAATCGTTGATGGTAATGTGCCCCATTTGTTGCGTGTCATTCCAGAGACTCATTATAAATTACAGGCGCAAAACGTGACCGGTGTGTATCTCGGTTGCTCCGTTTGACGCGTCGTTGACTAATCTATAATCCTGCAGTGCAGTTTGGCCTGGAGATATGGGTATTGCAGTCCCTACCCAGTTCGTCTCCACGTTAGATTTGATTCCCACAAGAAACGCATTATCTACTATGTTCGCTGCGATCAATCCCCAAACGGGCGCATTACCAGAATCCGGTCCTCCTCTGAGCCAGCTAGGCTCGGACACCTATCACGCCTGGACTCTCATTGGAACGCGTCAGTCATGTTTTGCGAAACCTGATCTTTGAAGCTGACGATGCTTGCGCAGACAATTATTATCTTTATTCTGGAGATCATGATTGGCTTAGTACCGTCTGGACCAACTATACTCGTGCTGTTGCTTTCTTGGAAGGCAAAGTAGACAGCACCGGGTTAATGGACGTCACTGGCCTCAGAGATTGGGCTCGTCTAGGTGGTGGTGGATACAACGCAGAGGGAAATGCAATTCTTTACAAGGTGGGTTCCGTGTTTCATTCACGGCATAAGTTCTGACATTATAGTAGGTGCTTTTGACAGCGTCAGATCTAGCGAACTACATGGGAGACGAATCTCTCTCCGTAGCTTGGGGAGCAAATGCTACGGCGCTCAAAGCCAAGTACAACGAAGCATTTTGGGTGGAAAGCGCGGGAATGTATCGAGACAACTTGACCACTACGCTTCACCCCCAGGATGCGAACTCGTTCGCTGTTCTTTATAATCTGACCCTTTCGGACGATCAGAAGGTCGCTGTGAGCGAAGGATTGGAAAAGATTTGGAACGATCTAGGACCAGTGGCTCCCGAGCTCCCGGATACCATCTCACCATTTATTAGTGGCTTCGAGGCGAGTGAGAGGTATCCTAGATATAGCGATTCCAAAGCTGACGGGAGTTCTTATCGATAGCTGCAAGCCCACTTTGAAGCTGGTCAGGACAACCGAGCGTTGGACCTTTTACGTCGGGAATGGGGTTACATGTTATACACGAACCTGTCCGTGCAAAGTACCTTGCTCGAGGGATTTACGGCCAATGGCTCTCTTGGGTACGTCGTAGTTTTCCTCGTTTTCGTATTTAACTTACATCAACCTCAGATATCGATCTTACAGGGGATATAATTACGATGCTGCATATACTTCGCATGCGCATGGGTGGTCTTCTGGACCTACTTCTGCGCTTACTTTCTATATACTGGGGTTGACTATAACGTCGCCCCGGGGCGCTACATGGTTTGTGAATCCGCACGTAAATGGCGGACTTCCTGGTGCTGAAGGCGGGTTTGAAACCTCGCTTGGGTGGTTTGGCGTAAGATGGACGCTGCAGATCAATCAGTTCCTCATGGAAATCAATACTCCGGAGGGAACCAATGGTCGAGTGAAGCTACCTATCGAAGGCTCTGTGGTGGTTGATGAAGAAGGTGTCGATGTTGCTGCGGATAGGGAAATTACCCTGAACGGAGGTAAACATACTGTGGTCATCTTCAGTTAGATATCTATATGTCGGAACGCCTCCCCGTCGAAAGGGGTGCAATTAAATGGATGCATCCATGCACATGTACATTGATGAAAAGTATCCTTATGATTGCAGGCTCGGAAGAGAAAACAGTCCGTCGTGTTGTGAGAGCACTGTGCAGTTGAGACACGCTATTGCTACTCCATACAGGGATTATGCACCGCGCAAAAGGTTTATACTAGATAGCCAAGGATTTTGTCCCTCGGGCCGCCCAGGCGCTTAGCCATCGTGGGAAAGATTTGGGCGGTGATTGCCATATCGGGATCAAGTCTTCACCTTTAACCACGATGACGACAGCATTGACATCGGTGTGATGTTTTTCTTATCTCTACCGCAGGTATATCTATTATGTGTGAATGAAAACCCAATTTTTTTTACTGATTTTGTATCTCCAGCGTTCTAGGAGTAATGGAGCATGTTTTGATTATGGCACATATTAGGAGGGTACCTCTTGAGGTACGTCGGCTTGGACGCTATTTAATACCGAATTTCTCCGCAGAACCTATATGCGTTGATTTTTCTGCTTATATGCGCTCATATACTCACCGGTATGGCGTCTACCAAAATCATCAGACATCATTTCGCTGAACACGGCCTTCCACGTCACGGTCTCCCTTCACTTGTACGTCATTTTAATGAAAGGGACCTTTCGCTTCTATCACATTCATAGACCCTGTATTTCCCACCCAACACGTATACTCTTCAACGTGTCGCGTTACTCGCATAGCTTCTTGTACCATTGTATCATCTTCTTGTACCCACGATACGTGGGTCATATAGACTCAGGAATGTGTAAGCCTGAGTTACCTTCAAAGTATAGGCTTGCACTAACACACGCATCAGAAGTACCTTTGACTGTTATCAGAGGCATCCTTGTACGCCAAGTTCGAACAGAAATTTTTACATCCGAATATGTACAACTCTGCTAGTAACGACGGATGTATCTATGACACGTCGCGAGTCGCAGAAAATTATCGTACTGGAAGTTACGATCAGAGTGACCCGAAGTTCGCCACCCAAGACTGCCTTGCCAAGGAAAAAAGTGTGGTGCGTGACTTACCCTTCTGCGGTGCAAATTCTCAACTACTGTAAAGATAAACGCCACGTTTACCATTTCCACTGTTCCAAGAAAATGGGTATCGTAAGAGGGCCACGTCATGCCCGAGCCTTTGAAGCCAGACCGTCATTAATTTTGTGGTGATTTAAATCATGTCGACGATTTCAAGGCACGTGTGCAACCTTAGCCTTGTTTTTGTTCATACGAGCAACGAAAACCCAACCCCGATGCACTGGGTACATGGGCCCAATGGCCTTGACATTTGTCCCTTTGCGTTTCACAAGCAGAAATATGGACCTGGAGTCCGAGTCCGTCTATTAGATCGTTCCCAACAGAACAATGGTGATTTTGATCGTATCCTCATCTGCTGCTAATGATTCTCATCAATGATTACGAACAGTGCCTGGCGTGTACTCATTAGCGGCCCCAGACACGTAGCGCCGCTTTAGTTTAGGTCCGGACGACTTGTATAAAGAATGAACCGGCGCAAGACTGTAACTCCAAGCTGTTGACAAAAGTTCTTTTCCACTGTCTTACAGCTTTGGCCCTCTATGATGCGTACTGTGAACCTCAGCTTCGCTCTTCTCTCGGTCCTTAACTTCTTCACTGGATATACCTTCTCGCAGGTCACCTCGATCCCATATGATCCTTCTCCA